GGTGATACCAAGGTAGCTGCCATTGCAGCACCGCCGGAGCTGATGAGACTTGCTACGGGGGAACGTAAAGTCACTCTGCTCCACTGCGTTGAAGACCGGCTATGCGTGTGGCGACCTGCTGATCCAACAGAGCTTGGGTACAACCTTATCCTCCTCGAAGGTTCCCCAGAGTGGCGTATGGCCACCTGCTCTTTGTGGACTTGGATGAAGGCACCCATCGGTTCGATCAACTGCAAATCACTCATCCGAATGTGATCCCGCATGGCATCCGATGCGAAGGACTATTGAGGGTCCTATCATGGGTAAGTTTTGACCTCCCTGATCACTTCAAGCGTACTCTAGATACTCTCTTGCAAGCAGCTGGTGAGAGGTGCATGGAGCTGCATACTGTGGCCATTGAAGGTAAGGATGTTCGAGATCATGTAATTGAGACAGAATTGGACCTACAGCAAGCTCTCATCAAAATGATCCCCATCCCGGGTGGAGCTGGTGAGGATGGTGGACAGATTATTCGAAACCTGCTTGTAGAGTTCTTCTCAGGCTTCTCACTACGCGCTCTCATTCATCTTCCTCCTTGACATGGTGCTACCCCAGCTGGATGCCCACCACACAGGCAGACGAATACAGCACCTAGAGCCGTGGATCAGTGTGACTCTGGCCCAGGGCCACGCACAAGTGCAACTTATCAGTATGAAGCATATGCCGGTTTCCACGCCTTGACGCTTCACACAGACAGTGCACCATTGCTGCTCTTCGCGGATTCCACTGCTCTGCCTCAATGCAGCCCCTGGCAGCTATGTGAAGCGGGCAATCTAGGCAGTATGGAATCCAACGTAATGGCAGGACGAGCGCTGCTGGGACGATTTCAACTCCCGACTGGCCACGACAGGCATGCCATCTTTCTTGTGATTGACAAAACAATGGAAGGCTCCAACAAAAATGCTGCCTACAGAGCCTACCGGCGAATTGCGCCGAAATCCGTTGAAGTCATTCTCCTTCCACACTTTGTAGCTCGCACATTCTGTGGTCGCCTCATTGAAAAACATGCACACAACACAAAATATTTCGACCCTGGTCGAGACTGGCCGTCCTATAGAAGGGCATGTGAACATCCCACTGGATCTGCAACAATTGTCCTTTCTTGGAGACACGCGAAGTCGACGAGAGCTCTTAGTCTTTGCGCAAGCCAATCCGTCACGGCAACCACTGGCCATGGGCATCTCCCAACCTGGCATTCCAGTGCGACGCATGGCCGCGGACAGGAAAACAAAGGTTACAGACGCACTGGTCCGGATATTACGCCGATTTCTCACTCCAGCAACAATCACCATAGATGGGCAACATGATCAATTCTATCGGAAAGTGCGAAAACCCAAACAGACCTAATTACAACCACTAGTCGCAAACGCGACTAATGGGGGTCGGCCTCCGCCACGTCGAGTGTTTAACCAAAACACAAAACCCCAAAACAACGGCTCTCACTGCACCAGTCGCTCAACTCTTTTCCACACAGGAAACGACGAGAGCAAAGTAAGTTTGCTGTTCATGCAGCATGCACTGTGCTATGTTGGTCTTCTTGCACTTGTCCCGTCTTGAACATGGCAGCGGAATCACACAGATTCCAAACGCACCAAAAACATTCAGCTTCACATTGATGAATTCATGTTGGTTGAATTCATCACCATTTCCAAAACATTCTCAAATAACTTCAAACTCATCACAAATTCCAAAAACGTTCTCCTTGTCCATGAAATAGTTGAAAAACATCACGCAGCTTCCAGAAAATGTAAAACGCAGTTTGGCAGAAAAATAAATTGGTTTGTTGTTGTTGACAAACGACATGCACATCCAGGAAAAATAAAGTTGCACCACAACCGTCCAAATTCACTTGCAAATGCCGCGCATGCAGCAAGTGAGTTTCGAAAACAACGTTTGACCTTCTTGTCCATAAACATCATCACCAAATACTTTGCATTACCATGCAAAGTCCAGAAAACAACGAAAAATACATCGTTCCCAGATGTTATTCCACCATTCTGCAGCAAATCCAGAGCTGTACACAAAGAAGACATTGTTGTAACCAAATTCCACATGCCATATCAAGTTGTCAGGGGAACGTAGCACATGTTCACCGTATCAACGGGAGTTTATACTTCCATACCCCCTTTTGCTACGATTCCCATGCAGCTTGGCTAAGAAAGTTTCCAACATGCAGCACAATGCATTGTGTATGTATCCACATCATCCGCAAAACCATTGTGAGGATCCGCACACGAAGTCATCTCTTCCCAGCAGTTGCAGATGTATCAAAAATACCTGTGTACGTTAATTATTCCTGTGTCATCGCTGTTGTCTGTGTCCGCATACTCATTGATGCAGAAAAGTTGAACTCAAAGTGCCAAGTTGAAATCACCTTGCAACGGATTCCATGCAGTCCGGTCCATCATAAAAGAAGTTCCATAGATTCTGCACAGAGCATCCATACCAGTGAATTCCAGGCACATTGCACAAAAAGGAAACCATAGGCTTGGGCATGCAATGTCTCAAAGACCTCCAGCATTCAACGCCACTCGAACTCACGCTGGTACACGTAGCCAGCATTCAGGAATGCGTCAACTCGGCAGTGCATAAGAAATGCACAGAAATCAGGACCCTGTGTCCTGGGTGTGGAAGTCAACTTCTTCCTGAATTGTCCGATCATCTTCTTGGCGTAGCGACATTCATCTGCACTCTTGTTGAAGACCTTGACAACAAAGGCATGATATGTGATTGGCGATGCAGCGAATTTTCCCATCTTCAAAAGCGTGCAAGACCAGTGATATGTGTCCTTGATCCATGCAGGCTTTGGCACTGAGAAATCCACTTCTTCGTAATTAACATCAGCATCTTGCCAGTTGTCTGCCCATTTGTGAGTGCCTGGCAATCCAGTGGGAAAGCTCGGAAAGATCCGCGGTGAGTCCCCGGTGTCGGAGATGAAGGAATAGCTACCAAGCCCATCCTCACTGTCAGAGGCAGACATCACGGCCTCATGACGACGTTTGGAGCCGTCTGTCATTGCACCATCTGGCATCTTATTCGAATTCGGTTCAACCACATCAGGTGGTTCCTCCGAGATGCGTGCACACTTTGTAGAATGGCTTGTGGCCTTGGGAAACTGTGATTCCTTTCCCTTTCCTTCTTTTCCTTTCTCACCCTTTGCACCTTTCTCGAATTCTTTGCCCTTGCCCTTGTCGCTGTGACCACCTTTGCCGAATTCTCCCTTTCCACCCTTCTCGAATTCCTTGCCTTTGCCCTTCTGTTCATTGTATGACTGTTCACTTCCAAGAGCTGCGGCAGGGAGTACTGGTGGATCAGCTTTGGCAGGAGGAGGGATAGGCACCTGTGCATTGAATTTTGGGAAACCCGCTGAACCTCCTTCATCAGGATGGCAGTATTGATTCGCAATGGCTGAAATGGCGGCAGCAGCAGCCTTTGCCTCCGCAAGGTCCGCATTCTTTTGCACAACGTTCCCATAAATTTGAATCACAGGCTTATCCTTCGGCTTGTCATCCTTCTCCACATCTTCAATCCAGGGGTCGTCATTGGGATCGTAGGGGCGGTCCTGCCACTTCTTGTGGTATTCACGTGCATCACGAAACCCAGAGCTTGCCCCTTGCTGTAAATTCTTCGGTGGAGTTGTCGGTGGCGCCTTCCATGCTGGATCATCTGGCCATAGAGCACCTGGAGGCGCTTTACCAGCATTTGAATTCGTAGATGAATTCTTGTCAGCTGGGTGACCTTCATTACACTCTTGCCAGTCATCATCCGGTGGGTAAGGTCTGTTCATGGGAGCATTTTTGACCTCCTTTTTGTGGACGGTCAAGAGTTCGTTCATCTTCCCACCTTCCTCAGCTTTATCTTTACACTCACGCAAAACACGCCCAGCCACGCAATACGGTTCACAGGTAACATGTGGGGAGGGGGAACATTATTAGCGTGATCCCTACGCGTATCCTACACAAACTGAACCAGCTTTACCGTCATGTTTGTCTGAACGCGGAAAATAAAAGGTTGACATCACTGCACAAAAAACAACGACATCACTGCATGCTGGAAATCCGGTCAAACGCTTTTCTTCCACAAATAGGCGGGGGAAATTCCAAGTGCCACATCCAGCCTTCTAGGCTAGGGCTAGGCTAATACAACACAAGAAAACACAAGACAATACACTACAGAAGAGTGAGAACGGGACATGTGCAGGGTGGGAACAAGGGTGGGAGCACATCGCTCCCGTTCAACTTGGAACCAAATTGGCCACCACAACATTTACATGTCTTCCACTCAATTTGTGTTCAATGCATTGTGTTTGTATTAGTTGAAATTCTTAAACAAACAAGTACAAAAGTTTGTGAAGTTTGGGAGATGAGACAGCAGAACAAGACTGGAAACAAACTTCAAACAACACCGTTGGTTTCGCAGGTTGCCGTTCGAAACAATTTAGAAAACTCCAAACAGGCAAAACAAGGCTCAAAACACAACGTAAACGCAGATACAAATCTAGAGATCACGCAACACGAGATCCCCACCCACACGTAAACGAACCAGACAGCGCGTAGAAACACGACGCGTGAAAGAGCATGACATACATGCACAAGGGCGTGTACAACAGGTGGGTGCACATTGCACACACACTGTAACATTTGGTGAGTTCGCAGATAATGCATTATCCACTAAAGTAGAACATTGCTTATCTTTACACTCACGCAAAACACGCCCAGCCACGCAATACGGTTCACAGGTAACATGTGGGGAGGGGGAACATTATTAGCGTGATCCCTACGCGTATCCTACACAAACTGAACCAGCTTTACCGTCATGTTTGTCTGAACGCGGAAAATAAAAGGTTGACATCACTGCACAAAAAACAACGACATCACTGCATGCTGGAAATCCGGTCAAACGCTTTTCTTCCACAAATAGGCGGGGGAAATTCCAAGTGCCACATCCAGCCTTCACCCCACCTATACATTCATCACATGTTGTCCAATCGCACATTTGCGAAGGATATCCAGAGGCACTTTGAACTCTTCGGCTCCAAGCACAAAGCACATCCGAAAATCCAGTCTGGATGGGCCATCTGCAATGTTGCTCATTGTTGGCACACGACAAAAATAGGGCTGGACTTCCAGCTGAGCTTCAAGAAGCGTCCCTTTGTGGATCATCCTCATAGCGTGCACTGAATCTGCACTGCCTTTAATCCAGCTATGCCGCGCACCATCATTATCAACAAAGATAAGCACTTGGCGCTTCTCCATCAATTTGCTCCAACATGCAAGCGCCAAAAGGTATGGGAGAACCTCAGCTTCAAACACAAGCTGACGTCGACCGCCACATGCCCACTCCTCCACTATCTCATCAGGTAGCTGGAGGCCAAAGAATTGCATGCCCTGACCCTGAGCGTCAATCAGGATTGCACCGACTGAAGTGGTCATGGTGTCACCGGTGGTGTCTGCCGGCTCACAAGCCCCATCAATGAACAGCAGAAGAGGAGGTTCCGACGCAGTTGTGACCACGCGCGGCGGCGCATGAACAATTCTGTCCATCATCCAACTCAAGCCAAATAGCACCTCCTCAGACAATGGGGAGCAGTCACACCCAGTTCTCACTGGACTTCCCACAGCCCTTAAAGCAAGCTTAGCACTCCTGCCAAAGACCTGGCCTTCAGCAAATGTCAACCTCGACCTTAAGCTCTCCGACTCAGCACAGGTTAGCCGGTCAGCATCAAGAAAGCCCTGCACCATGGTGGCCAACTCATCACGCCGTTTTTGCGTGTTGCCAATCCTGAGGACACCTTCGTGAGTCTTGCTCAAGTCAAACTCCACACCCAAAGCTGTAAAAATCGGTGCAAAGCCTTTGTCCTTCTCCGGGTCCTCCGACAGCACCCACCCAAGGCTCTGGAACAAAAACTTGACAGTCATATGGGCACTGTCAGCATCTTCAGGCCTTGCTATGCATATGAAGTCGTCGAAAAAGGAACTCCATAGCAGAGCCGCACCCCTGATGCCCAGCTCTTTGAGCGCACGAGACACTCGGAGGAAAGACGCAACGGATGCCGTTCCCCCGAAAGGGAGACCTCTCATGCGGAAGAGCTTCACACAGCCATCAATAGGCGACCAGGCTGCTATCCAAGAGAACCTGTAATGGTCACTACTCACGCCGAGCTGGCGGTAGGCCTTCCGCAAATCATAAGTGCGGCCTACCAACTTGCACTCAGGCCCGTGCACTTGCATGAACCGCTTTATCAAGCCAGCCACCTCATCGATGGTGTCGACCTGCAAGCGCTCGGGCAACCCAACTGTAGCGTTGATACCAGAGGCAGTCAAATTGTCAATCGGTCGTGTCTTAGACCCCTGACGCAAGCCAAATCTGGGGGATACGACATGGCCAGGGGGCAAGGCATCCACTGAAAAAGGGCCTTCCAAGGTCCCGCCATCCACTTCTGCCAACGTCGCCTCCCAAACCTCCATGTCCAAGTCACCATCCTGGGATGGTTTCACACTCGCAATTGCTCTGCAAGAAAACGATGCAGCCATCTTCACCAAGCTGTCGACATGCAACTCCGGTGGCCGCATATTGGCAGCAAACATGTCAGACTGTTTCATCCAGCCCACCAATGGCAGCCCATCCGAAGCCTCCTTGGCAATTGAGGCATCAGGGTACCCCACCGCTTCCAAGGAGAGTCGCATAAGTTCAAAACGCTTGCCCTTCAGAACCGACCTCAAATGGTCTGGCCTTTCCAAACTGATCCTCTCCTCAGCGGCCTTGGACTGATTGTACAACTCAATCATAGATTTGGTCCAAGCTATGCGAACCCGCCGAAGCTCAACTGCAGAGTCGCACCCATGCAAGGCGATGGCTCTTTCCATACCTTCTGGCAGCTTGACAGGCTGCATGTTGGGGTGCACCAAACTGCAAGCTCGTTTGATGTACTCCATCGGCTCAATGGGCAGGCCAATTTCAACCCCCTTCTGATCATTCAAAAACCGGAGCAGCCGAGCGCCTTTGGAAAAGTGTGGGTTGTCTGGCAACCTGGAGCCGGGCTGCACTTGTCTCAAAAACGGAAAATTTTCCAAATTGACAACTTCTGTGCGTAAAAAGTCAGTCAGCAGAGGTGGCATTTTGTTTCCTCGAGGCAAACTGCCAGTGATGGCTCGGTTTGCCACGTCTTTGACATGTAGGTGCCCAGCATCCACCGCATCAAGAGTGGCAGGGGGTGCATGGTACCCTAAGCGCTGGGCATACTCGGCTATGGCGTTGGCCCAATTTGCACATAAAACAGGGTCATAGGCACACTCTTGGGCCGTGGCGAAGGTACCGTCTTTTGTTACACCCCAAGCGTCGTGGTCATGATTATCGTCACAGACGCGTTGCAACTGCAAAAGTTCCTCAACACAGGTCCAAATGGCTGTCATTTTCTTTCGCCGCGACCCAAACATGCAGTTGTGGAAACAAAAAACAAGGCATTTTTTGCCTAGGTACTGCATCAGCATGATGAAGGGTGTTGTGACCCACATCAGGGAGCTAGATGGATTTTCAACCGACCAGCCCACATTCATTTGGTCCAGCATTTTGATGTATTTGCATGTCAACGTGTATAGACGGTTTGCTTTGCTGACCCTCTCGCGAGACACAAAAGGCAGACCTGGTAAGCCCATGGGGTGTTTCATGCTCCTCAATGGCTTCGGCCCCTTTCGGTTTTTCAGTGGTATGCATCTTGCCATCGATGCGGTTCCACATGGTGGTGCAAAATGCACATATAGCAGACGCCCTTGCGTCAAAAGCTCCTCAAAAATCTTGCACTGTGCTGGTGAATTCAAGTCAATCTGCAAAATTGGGATTCCTTTGACCGCCTGGTGATCGACTGAGAAAACTTGAAAGCCCTTTCTGCGAAGAGCTCTCGACAAGCCTGCTTTTCCACAAAAAACTTCGACAATGTAGCAATCGGCAAAAGTCCTGCCACCAGATTCAGCGGAGCCATCTGGCGGCACATCAATTCAGTTAGAGCATTGACCCAGCGGATGCTTGCCGTGACATTTGATGCATTGGTGCATCCCACGGTTACATTTGTCAAAGTTGTTCTCTTTGGTCACTTTGTTGGTGCAGCCATGAGCCATGTTGTAATTGTAACAGGTCCGCTGCTTCTGTTTATTCCAGCCACTGAACCCATGTAAGCCAGTAGGTAGGTTTGACCTTCCCTGCCGATTCTTGGTTCGTTTTTTAGGTGCTGCCTTTGGCTGCTTCTTCTGCGGTCCATCGTCCTCCTCACTTATCTTTCTTTTTGCGCTTGCATTGCCACCAGCTGCAAGGGGCAATGGAAGCAGGTGGAAGGCCACTGACGCTGAAGTATGAAGTTGCTCCAAAGCCACATCCACAGGCAGTGTCCCATTTTTGTCAGCCCTCAGCTCAGATCTCACTTGATCAGCGACTCGCGTCCATAGCTCCTTGTCTGCCCTCAAAATGGCGTCAATGGATGCCGCCTTGTAGCCTGGCGGTGCAGGCTTATTCAAGTGGCCCATGAAGTGGCGCATCACCTTCTCATGTGTTGCGTACGTAGCCAAATTGCTCATTTCCAACGCTAAGCCGCGTCTGATCATCGCCTGATGGACACGAAGCTCATTGCCCAACTCAGACGTCAGTTCGTCCGATTTTGCCTTCACCTGCAGCTGATGCCCCTCAAGCAAAACGACCTGTTTATCAGTTTTGACTGACAGCAGCTCAAGTTCACGACTCACACATCGGCTCAAAGGGAAATGCCTCAGCGCACCCTCGTCTAACATTGCAGCAAAAGCATCAATCACACAATGCCCAGGCTCGTAATCACCTGTGATTTCAAAGCCGCTGATCTTGCTCCTCATTGTTCTGAGCCTCATGTCCTTTTCTTGAGCAGGGAGTTTCCTGGCTGTATCATCAGGTGTCTCAACTCTCTGCTTGATTGCGGCTACTGCAACCGTCAAGGCCTCATAGGCCAACTGCTTTAATCCAGCTTGGACCCCAATGCTAGCGCCCCTTGGGCATATCATATCGACCAAGTTCTGAAACCGCTCTCCATCCAACTGACCAGGCTGGCCATTCACTGCAAAGGCCAAGTGATTGAAGCATCTGATATCATTGTCGTACATCGCCTGTATATGATCATCAGCCAGTTGGATCTGTTGTGCACGATGCCTGAAGCTTGCATTGGATTCCGCATAGCTGGCCATCGGTGCGAGGCGCCAAGCGGCTATCAAAAAAGGTAACCAATGAACCCTGCATGTTCAAATCAAAAGAAGTGCATTAAAATCAAAGCAGAGAAAGCCGATGCACATGTAAAGACAGATTCTTCAAAAGTGAGCAGGTGACATGTCAGCCCGTGCTGTCACAATGTGCTTGAACCCCTGAAAAACTACACGCTCATGTATGTGATCAGCTGGCAACATCATGTGGCCACACATTGCAGGCCTTACCTGCTACATTGCAGGCCTTACCTGCTTCAGATTCACCGCTATCAGAAACTCTCATCCCTCATCTGCGTAGGCTGAACATCGCAATTTTTCCACATCGGAAAAAAGCCAAGAGTATCAAGCGCTATTCTTTCCACATTGGAATGAACCTGAGCGCCTAGAGGTCATACTCTCAACTCACATTCAGCATTTGCACACATTATGCATAGCTGGACATGCACGCTAGTCAGACATCTCTGACACGGCTGCACATTGCAAACCAACTGATCACATCGGTGAAAATTTCTTCACGCTTAAAACCATGAAATCACAAATTTGTAGCTCATGTTGACACTTGAAAACAAACCTCGTGCAGCCCGAATTAACCATGTGGTCCGGCAGCATTTGCACACATTATGCAGAGCTGGACATGCACTCTCGTCACACATTTCTGAAAAGGCCGCACATTGCAAACCAAACTGAACACCACAAGACAACAAGTGTCCGTCCAATGAAATTGAAGTCAAAAACTTGTAAATCACATTGACACTCGAAATCAAAACCAGTGCTGCCTGAATTTGACATGTGGCACAGCATTCAAACCTCAACCACGAGAGTTAAGATCCCTGCTTCCCATGCAGTGCTCGCACATCGCCACGCCCTTCACGGGCTTGCCAGCAAAATAGGTGTACCTGTTGCATTCACGGCGCCCACATAGAAACTTGAGACTGCCATGCAATTTCAAATGTTGCATTCCTGAAACATTGTTTCTGTAAACTGTACATGACTCAGGAATGTCAACAAAACCAGGTCTTAACTCCGGTACAACTAGGTGCCACAGCAATGTCGAATCAGCAGGCCCTGAAAAAACATCATCCTCACTATCAGAAGAATCGCTCGATGACGGCACAAAACTGCTATCAGAGTCAGATTGTTCCTGATTTGCTGGTATACCGGCTTGAGACTGATGGACAAAACGCCCAGACCTGCTTGCATCAGGGAGAAAAACACCCTGCTTGATTGCCTGCAGAGTGCCAACCAACTTTGTCACAGCTGGGCCCATACTATCCCTGTTGTAGGCTTCAGCTGATTTTGCATTGGCATCCAGATGGTGTCCAAGCAGCCGCCTAGTTTCAAGATCCAAGCCATGCTTCCCAGCCCACGACAGGGCAGTAGCCTTCAGGCTATGGGACTTCACCCCACAGCCCTTGTCATGTCCAACCCTCAAAGCTTCACGCAGCAACTGGCCACATTCCGATGATGTGATCTCCTGCTGTAGAGGCTTCCCATCAACGCCAAAGCGGCAGAGCAATGGGACAGTCAACCTGCCTCCTGTCTCTAATCCCAGTGCTTCACGTGCTTGTAGCCACGCCCTGAACCAGTCATGGCTTCCCAGCGAGTAGATGGGGGCCACCAACGGCAAGAACGTACGCCGCAAAACTTCACTTCTGGCCCCCTTGTTGCCAAGAACTTGAAGCTCAAGGTACCCTGGGCACTCCAGTGAATCAGGGTCAATGCTGGCCACATCAGCGTCCAATATCATGTTGACGGCCCTTTGTCCATCTGAAAAACGTCCACAACCATACAGCAGGATGAGCATCGCACCAAAGAGCACTCTGTCTTTCAAGTCTGGTGTGGTAGCCACCAGCTTTTCCAGAGTAATCACCTGAGATACCAGCAGCGGCGTTGCTTGCGCAATGGGCCCTGCACGCGTGCTGAGTTCAGTGGCGACTCCGTCCACCCTAGCTGTGCCAAGCTCAGCCAGGTCACCACGCAAACCCAAAACTCCTTTTGCAAACCTACAGGCTTCCAAAAATGACCTGCCCGCACTTGCTGCAGTGTTTTCATCCTTCAGCATGTGCTGGAGGTACGTGAAAATAACGTGCTCTCTCAGCGGAAAAAACTGTAAACCACGCTGTCCACAAAAGTTCACAAATCTATTCAGTGCATAGAACCTCTTCGACAAAGTTGAGGTTGCCTTCCTGGCAAAGCAAGCTCTAAGGCTGTGCTCAACGTCCACGTGGGTTACTTGGGTACCCGCCGCCAAAATTGCATCACCAACTGAAAAGGCGTCCAAGCTAATGCACACAAGACTTGTCCAATTGGAGACAACACTTTGTCTCTTGTCAGCTTCTTCCCTCATCTCGACATGTCTAATGACTTGCTCGCACAACCCAGCTACCCTTGTTTGCTTAGGCTTCTGCAGTAATGACATCACATCGTACTGAACCATGTCAGTCAAGTCAATGTCGACAGCTGGACGTTTGAGGTCTGGACCACGATTGCTGCACTGCCCAAACACGTCACTCAGAAAAGGATCAGTCTCCCAGAAAAATTTTGGAGAGTTTGCTTCCAATGCCCATCTGCTGTGATCAACCCCAAAACCAGGTAATGCTGGATTGACAGGCTCAGATGCTGGTTGCACATCAGGCCCCAAACGTTCAGTGCAAAGGTCCAGGCTCAACGCATTGCCTTCATTCAAGTGCAGAAGCCAGTCGACACCTTCATCTAGCTGCGGGGCAGACAAACCTTTGTCTAGTTGACTGTCATCAGCATCACCTACTGGTTCCCATCCATCAAGCTCACAACTGAACTGATCACCAAACAAATCAGCTTGCTGAGAATCCAAGCCATCATCTGAGTCCAGCGCAGTGGCCCGCAACACATGAGTACCTTCAAGACACTCCTGTTGATTGAGCAGGCTATTGAAACCGTTGTCAAGCTCCTCACTCCCATGCAAAGGATCAGAAACTTGTTGGATGTTACATGAACCCACAACCAATGCAGAACCCCCCTCTGGTATTTCTCCATCAGCAGCTAAGGTGTGCTCCAATGCTGATGGCAACGATGTCGCCCGCGATGCGTCTGCCCTAAGCGACATTGCAGGTTGCAAAAAGAACACCTGGAGGTACAGCAAAATGCCAATTGCAAATCTGAAGTGGAGTCTTCTGGAATGGTGATGGTACATCCAAATCTGCGCAGCAATTCGACAATGAGAGCAAAAAGTAAATGCAGCAGCTCAGTCAGTGTACGAAGGTGCAGCTGGTCCATACAAAAGGAGCCAGATGCAAAAAATTGCAAGCCAAAATCCACACCAGAAACTGCACAAAATGACAATACACAAACACGATGGGGACAGTGATGGAATAGGCACACAAGTACCTGCCGGCAATTGGATCGGCGAAGCTATGGCACAACGCCCCTTATCTACCGCCCCACGCTGCCGCATGCTGGGAGCACATCGCTCCCGTTCAACTTGGAACCAAATTGGCCACCACAACATTTACATGTCTTCCACTCAATTTGTGTTCAATGCATTGTGTTTGTATTAGTTGAAATTCTTAAACAAACAAGTACAAAAGTTTGTGAAGTTTGGGAGATGAGACAGCAGAACAAGACTGGAAACAAACTTCAAACAACACCGTTGGTTTCGCAGGTTGCCGTTCGAAACAATTTAGAAAACTCCAAACAGGCAAAACAAGGCTCAAAACACAACGTAAACGCAGATACAAATCTAGAGATCACGCAACACGAGATCCCCACCCACACGTAAACGAACCAGACAGCGCGTAGAAACACGACGCGTGAAAGAGCATGACATACATGCACAAGGGCGTGTACAACAGGTGGGTGCACATTGCACACACACTGTAACATTTGGTGAGTTCGCAGATAATGCATTATCCACTAAAGTAGAACATTGCTTGCGCATGAGTGCACGTAGTTGGTCCCATTCTCCCTGCGTCATATCTGTCCCAAGAACTGGATCATTGGGATCGTATGGGAGCTGCTGCGAATTCATCGAATTCGATCCAGAGTGCCCGTAGGGGCCTGCATCAGCTGGCGGCCAGTGCTGTTGTCCGTACTTTCGAGCCATTGCGTCAGTCGCTCTAATTCCTAATTGAAAGCTGTTTCAACACACACACGCACCCAGAGTCGAGTACCGCAGTTTAGCCGTTTTGAGGGTCCTAAACTCCGCAAATGTTGAATTGGGCGTGTGAGTTGTGTCATGTACCTGACATCCTTAGTAGCATGCAGGTCGTTGCATCTCGACTGACGTCCCTTTCATCCAAAACATTGCAAAAACATCAAAAACTGTAGTCCAACCCTGTCCAAGTGTGTCCACAGACATGCAAAACTCAAAACAAACTCAACTGACATGCACAAGTTGACATCAAGTGAACTGTGCTTCACATCACTGCAGTGTTTCATCAAAAGTGCTTCGCGTTCGCCAGTGATTCGCGAAAAAAAACAAAAATCTGTGTTCCACATGACTGCAGTGCTTCACATGACTGTATCTGGACATCAACTGTGGGTTTCGTTTCGTTTGGTTTGTATTTGGTTTCAAATAAGACATGCAAAAACAAAACTCTGGTTTCTCCATGCCAAAAAAAAAGGTTGCACATCCCCCTTTCAAACTTGACTGGCGACGTCCGGAGACGTGCAAAAAAATCAGTTCCACCTGCCACGCAACTTTCCTATGGAAACTCATGCACATGCAGGTCAAAAAAAAACTTTCCATTTGGTCTTTCATGCTCTGTGCAGACAGCACACCTTCAGGGATCCTTCCTACCCGCACGTACTGCGGCCAAAATGGCCTTGGCAAGTTCTCTGTTGTAAACACCTGTCTGGTTCCAATTCACGTCATACATCCCAGCATGCTTGTCGCACTCGCACCAACCAAATCTCTTTGTGAGCAAGTTGCAGAAACCGGCTGAAGCACTACAAAAGATCAAAACCTTTCCTACTGGCAAGCCGTTTGACGCTTGCATTCCAGTTTGGCATAAAAACACTTCAGCATCAAATTGCAAACCACACTGTTTCAATACGCGTTTCGTTTCGTCTCGTTTCCAAATGTTGTTGTTTCGTGGCAACTCAAATGACCGTGAATTCCCCAGCAACAAATACTTAGAAACGTTGTCCATGATACCTTTCCATGACCTGTCAGCCTCAGATTCTACTTGCGCTGAAAAATTCTTGAGGGGCGATCCTGAACTGCACGGTGTGGAAGCATGCACATGCACCCATCTATACCCTAGCTGTTGTTGTACCTCAACGAATTCTTTCACTTTCTGAAACATATCAGCAGTTTCCATTCGTTTGACGATACCGATGTAGGGCATTCTGGCTACCTTGCAGGCTTCCCTAAGTGCTGAATTCGTCCCGCAACAAACTTCAACAAAGGCGATGTCTTGTTTCTGGTCCACACGGTTGTTAAACAACATGACATCCCTAATTCCTTGCAGGTCCTTTGCAGGTACCTCTGGCACTTCGAATCCTAAGCTCGTTCGATGCCTGAGAAAATCCTTGGTCCCCAAACACTTGGTAAAAAGATCTGCCACATTGTCAGTTCCAGCTCGGTGTTCAACCAGCAGTTCGTTGGAACTAATTTTAGCTTTCATCCAGGCCATTCTAATCTCAACATGCCGACTTCTCTTGGGAATGTCCTGTCCTACTAACAGCTGCAACGCTGAAGAGCTGTCAGATTCCAGCAGGATTTGAGGAACATCTCTTTCTCTCATCTCTCCAATTCCGATATACACACGGTGACAGAAATTACTGAATGCAACCGATTCTTGGGCAACCATCTGCAATGCATACAATTCTGCTTCACATGAGGACAAAGACACTGATTGTTGTTGACGAGCCAATGACCTAACCAATGCACCTTCACAAAACACAACTCCACCTGAGATACCTTTCCTACCGTTGAATCTGTATGGAGCAAATGATGCATCAGAGAATGAATGCAGGATTGAATGTCTTGCAGGGCCAATCATTAAATTCTCATATTCAGGAGAGGGTAATCTCAAACAAGTTCCTACATCCTCAAACAGAAATCTAAGCAATGCACGAATTGCAGATTCCGTGCCTTGATTCGGTTTGGCTTGCTGACCTCCAATGAGGCTTAGGTAGAGCTTGAGATCGTGTCTTGATTGAGCCATCCACAATAGTTTGCCCAAAGCACGTCGAAAACGTGAGTATGCAGAGGGAGATAGTTCTTGTATCAAATTCTTGTCGCCCATAGCCTTGTCCAAGATCCCAGCAACATCCGGCACTGAAGCCGAACCTTTTGTGATGTTGAATTCCGTGAACGTTGTGTCCAAGAATTTCGGATCCACACCAATGGTCAAGGAGTCATCTTCAAGTCCTCGATGCACATGCCGGCCAATGAAAATTAGGTGTCCACCACCATGGCGTGCAGGAAGGATAATTCCTGTCTCCTTCAGGGGCACGGCTTTGCCAATCGCCTTCTCCACAATCTTCTCGGCTTTCTCAGATTGGCAACATAGCAGCAGATCATCCACATAGGCAACAAGCAAGGCAGTTTCACCATTGACAACACCTTGATAAATGCATGGTTCCACTTCATCCGAAGTGAGTCCAACACCACGAATGCTGTCACTCAGCAAATTAAGCCAATGCAAAGACGCATCTCGCAGGCCGTTCAAGGCTTTGTAGAGCAACAAGTAGGCTTGTGATCCATCAGGCATAGAGACTGAGAGAGGAAGCTTCAGCACGATCACGAGGCCGTGAGGGAGTGGAGAATGCATGAATGCATGGGAAACGTCAAGACCTTTAAGTCGAAGAGCTCGTTGAGCAGCAAGAGTGAGGACAAAATGCAGTCCCTCAATGCTCGGTGTTGGGCTCGAGATTCCCAGCTTTCGTGCACTAATTCCTTTGTTCAAGTCCTTTGCCACAATCCTAACACGAACCCGTGTCTCACTTTTGTATGCTGAAACCCATCTACTCGGTATGACACGCATGAGTGGGTGTTTCTTCTTCAACGCATCAACCTCAGCCTGTCCTATGACCTTTCCAGCACCACACTTCTCTAAATTCCCAATTTCTTCTTTCATTCCTTCAAAACCAAGATCCACATCTAATTGCATGAGTGAACTATCATCGATTACTTCATCAGGTTTCCACAAAAGCACTTCAGATCCACCAAGTTTCACCTTCACACATGTATGGTCCTTGCCTTGTGCAAACTTGATCGAATTCAGTTCAGCATCAAACAATTCTGGAGCTGTGGCTCGTGCATTTTCAGGTCCTTGTTCCAAACTCCATGCAACTGGTCCTAAAGCATGACATGCATCATCCATGACAAAAAGATCCAAAGTCATTGGAATCTGAGTCCCAGAGGCGCGCTCTGCGGCCATCTCATCTTCAAGATCTTGCACGGATTGTTCTGCTTCTCTCTTCACGCCTGAACCTTCAGTGTCCATGGATAAACCAACCTGATCTGAACCTGCGCCGACCGGAGCCGGGCTTGTCTCGATCTCAACCTCCATATCTTCAACCTCAAGTCTCGGTCTTGCAACATTGGGCACAACAACAGGAGTTGCACTGGGAGCTTCACTCGCCTCAAATGCAGCTCGCTTTCTCTTACATTCAGCATTATGCCTAATTCCTGGGACATCCATACCAGAATCACATGCAGGACACCTGGGTGTCTTTGGAAACACACGCACATCATGTCTTACAGCATCTGGTGACGGAGACGGAGACTCTGGGGAAACAGTTGGAGAGGCTTTTGGAAGTGCAGGTCCATCAGCAGTAGATGCACGAATTTTTTCTTGTCGGGCAATCTTCAACTCGCCTGGCTTTCTAGGTTGCGATGGAGCGGACTCCACCGGTCTCTTTCGTTGGACTGGAGCTCGATAGCTCGTGTCGGGTTCTTTCATCTCTCTGACCAAATCACCTGGCGCACCATCAGGATATTCAACAACATCATCATGCATAGGTTGATTGATCTCAGCATCAGGCAATCTGGGTCTCTCCACATTGGGTGCAGCTGGTTCGACATGCACACCTGGTCGTGCAGGAGGAACTTCTTGAGCTTGTCCACCACCTTCAATCTCACAAAACAGTTGATCG